AAAAAACTCTTAACAATTGTTTTTCTTTTCAAAATTTACTTATAAAGCTTATTTGTTATATAAAACTTAGCAATTACCTTTCGTTTGAAAACATTCATATTATAAAATCCCTGTTCCACCATTGAAATCAAAGGCATTATAATTTACCGTATTCAAAATCTTCGATGCATAAAATGATATTCCAATAAACAATATTAACATACAAAACTTCACGAATAAAACCAGTGAGCCGCTATAAATTGTACAATACAATTTTCACGGCAAAAGACGCACAATATTTGTTCGATTCAATTGAATTTACTCAACACGAATCGAGTATTGAAGAGATACGAAGGCCTCGATTTCGTTCAATTCTTATAATAGTTTAAAACGAGGCATCTTGAGATTGTTCTTGAGTTATTTTGTTGAGATAAAACCTATAACCTTTATAACTTATTATAAAATACAATAGGTTATTTTTATAATCCCCCCCAACGTTCGTTCATTTTATTGTGGTTTTGGGGCTCATTAGCGTCCGGCAATCCAGCCGGCGCGAAGCCAAGAAACGCACTGGGAGGCGACTCACCTCGGTGGACGGTGTGCCATGCGGGTTGCTCTTGGTACTTCTCTAATAGCAGAGTCGACAAAAAAAGGTTATTTATATAATAAAGCTTCTTAATAAAAGCTTTTATAAATTTAAAAGCTTTGTACCTACTGAAAGAGTTCCCATAGTCACCTTCCGACTTGATTTACACATAATAATAGTTGTTTTGTTACCGAGATTATGTACGTATGCTACTTTATATATGTAATACTAATATTTCGGCCTAATGAAACAGCAATAATATATAAGTGCTTATAGAAGAAGAAAAGGTGTGTTCTAAATACAAAAGGACACGAACAAACTTAATATACTTCTGAAATAGTTTATTCACTTCAAAGGTATATAGCACCTTTAGAAAGATAAATTTTAAGAATAAATTTTTAACTCTATGTAAGAAATGTAATGAAATATTCATTAAAATAGAATCATGAAATTCCGCTAACTCTGATAGCAATCAGAGTTAGCTTCGAATTGTAACACCATACAAAAATACATACAGCGATATTATCTCTCCCTTTTGAAGTTTGTATTGTATTCAGCCCTTTTTTAACGTCCTACTGCTGGGCACGGGCCTTCCTTCTTGGATCAGACCAAAGTCCACCACGCTGGCCAAGTGCGGGTTGGCGGACTTCACATGTCTTTCGAAAACTTGCTAGGTTCTCTCAGACATGCAGGTTTCCTCACGATGTTTTTCTTCACCGTAAGGCAAGCGGTAACCATGTTAGAAATGATTCGCACATGAAAATATCAGAGGTAAGAGACCCGGGATTTGAACCCGCTTCACTCGGTGTCCCAAGCGATCGCGTTACCACTGGGCTAACACACTAATTTTCAATCGAAAATTCTCGCTTCAAAATATCTGCGGTTTTTGAAAACGTCGGGTGGGCTTTATTTGTTGAAATCTCTACTTTCTGATGGTGTAAAAAAGATGACTATGGTAATTTTTCTCAGAAAATTCAAGAAGTATAAGCCAGACCCTCCTAGCCACTTCCCCACTTCTCTATGATGGCTACCTTTTGATGGCTAAAATTTTCCACTCAATTCAAATGCGACTGCCAGTGCCAGCCAAGTGCTAGCCAAGTGCGTGCTAGCGGACTTCACATGCCTTATGAAAACTAGTTACATTCTCGCAGCTTCACCAGAAATCATATTGAGAATGATTCGTACATTAAAATATTAGAGACACGGGCTTGGACCCGCTTCATTTGGCTTTCCAAGCCAATGCGGGCTTCCACTGCCTTATACTAATATGTAACACGTACTAATATGCACTAATATGTCCATGGCATAATTCTTATAAGCATAAAGGTACGTGGAGCGTTTTGCTTACTTAACTTTTTATTATTGTTTACTTAAACGATATTTAATTTAATAAAAACTGTTGCTAATAAAAACGAATATGTTTCGATAAAAACCAACGCAGTTCATTTATCACAGACGTCATGCCGTCACGTTAGACGTCACGTTGGCGTCGTGATGACGTCAGCGACGGTACCTATTGATAATAAGGGTGCATTAAACTTTAAAGTAGAATTAATATATTAGCTAAACTAAATATTTTACTATATAAATAAAAAGCTTTATTGGAACTAACTGAAAAGTTATATTTTAGATATTACGGTATAGATTAAAACCATTGTAATATAATTTGTTATGTTCTTTATTCTGTGGGTTTATTCGGTGCTTACTTGCTATGTCCGTGGTAGCAGGATTCAAACCCGCAACCACTGGCACAGCAAGTAGGTTCACTACGAACTGAGCCAAACGCGTCGTTAAAAGGCATGCTATTTGGACACAGTTTAATTCGCAAAAGTCGTTTAGAATAGAGAAGACACGGTATAGATTGAGAACTGATCGATTTAAAAAAGAGATTAGGATCACACTGAGGTCTGATAACATTTCATATATATTATATATTTATAATATGTATTTATTTAAAAGTTATATATGTGTAGTGTATCAACTATCTGGTATCCATAACACAAGCCTAGTAGCTTACCTTGGAACTAGATGGTGCTGTGTGTTAAAGTCCCAACATATTATTATAATTAATATTATATATAAGGAGTTTCTTCTATAATCTGGACCTAACACAATAAGACATTACAATATAGTATATATAAAGAGGATACGCTTAAAACCCGATTTTAGTATAAATTGATTAAATATTTTACAATAATTCACAATTTAATATTGTTACATTTGATATACTCGTACATATTTACACAAAAAAATAATACAATTTAACTGATGGTTTTTGCGGTCGACTGGTCAAACAACGCCACCAGCGTCAATCTCTTAGATGGGTGTCCGCTCCTTTTTCAATCACTTATTTATTCAATTTAGTCTGGTTTCACTAGGAAATAGATTTATTAAAATTTATAACAAAAATTAGATCCTAGGGCAAAATATCTAACACTAATTTTTACTATTAAGAAAGTATACATACGAAAGTATAATATGAATTGTTGTACATAATATTTATGTATCAAAATATTAAATAGATGGGTACATGTATGAGTTCACTTTATGATTTAGTGTAACCGAGAACATAATATTCTAGCCTGACCATTCAATTTGTCTTTGATGCTAAGTCTTATAGGGCGTGGTAAGTTATTTTGTTCAGTTCAGTTACGTAGAAATAATAACATTTTAAACACAGTATTGTTTTGCACTTTATGAACTGTGGTATTAACATTAAATAAACAGAGAAAATGTACGAGCAAACCTACTAGGGACTCATAAAAATAATTTCCTTAAAGAAGAATCTGTAATGTTTGGTACAATTTGGCATATTAATTAAAAAAACATATTATATAAAAAAAAAATATTATTTTAGTTAATATGTAAATAAAGTGTGTTGGTAGTTGTTAATCGAATGATTTATATATCCGATCTAATATTCTATATCTAAATGATAGCATTTCTGATTAATATTTTCCACTTTTTCATTTGTAAATGTATGTAGTAATGTGTTGATTAATAATTTGTTTTTTAAATAATAGCAAATTTAAATTAAAATTATTATTTTTAATTAATCTTAACTTTTTCAAATTACACGTAGATCAATTATGTATTAATATATTATGATTTTGCTTTATAAATAATAATGGCAACACTAAAAATGTAGATTACTAATTAATATTTTTAAAATTGTAATAATTATAATAATAACAGCTCAAATTAAATAAATAATATTCCATATTCAATTATAAAGCTAATTAAAATTATATAAAAATGTTTAAAGTTAAAAGTTAAAATATTGTAAGGTACTTTGGTGCCATTTTTCAATTTTTTGAATTCATTTTGTTATCTGTGGGTAGGCTGTCTGTAACAACTATATAATACCTTAGAGACATCTAACACCTCAGTGTCTCCCGTGACCATGATTGCTGTAAAGCATTCGAAACGTCGGGAACCAAAAATCAAAATAAATTCGCGAAAAAAACCGAAAAGATAGTTTTATTTAAAATGTCAAGTATTCGCGTAAATCTAAGAAAGTATTACAAAAATATACTATCAAATATGAACACTCTTATCCCTACTGGTATAAAAGTGAATGTATTTTATATTTATTAGTTTTTCTGTCTTTTATATTCGTAGTACATTGAAAATAGTTGGTTTTAGATGTAGGTACAAGCTGAATAAGGCTAAGCAGATCACTGATAACTTATGGAGAAAAACTAAAAATAAATTAATATAATAAATATAATATACTAGTCACTTAGTCTTGTTATTCTCGAGTGTTTCCCTAGGTACCTAACAGTAGACTATATATACTCGAGGTCATTATCTATGTGTGTACTGAATTTTATCCAAAACTGTAAATAGCATTTTCCTTATGATCTTTCATATGTTACTCTTGTAACAAATAAACATATGAAAACAAAAAAAAACCTTGCATATGTAATAGTAATCCAATTAGTCTAAGATAATAATAATAAATGTGCTCCTGACCGATTTTAGCGACGACGGAAAATCTAAGATTAGCCGAATGTGCAGAAGATATACATATTAGTGCACAAGCATAAATAAACTTTCATCCCTTTCCTTAAAGTCCTTTCTTTTCTTAAGTCAATAGTTCGACTTGACCCATAAGGCGCAGGACCTATGGCTTTAATTGCTCTTCGAGACACAGGGGTGAAATATCGCCAACTTTCTAACAATGGGCTGTTACTGAGAATTTCTTGGCAGAAAAAAACTCAATGATATTACATATATGCATTACCTGTTCCGACCTGGGACTCGAACCCATACCCTTTGAATCTACCGCCTTACATGAGTAACGACGCATACAGTCTTCTAAGATACAACTTTAATTTTCATATCTATGAACCAATCTCGATCTATCAATTCGGGTAAAGGCAATAATATTCGAATGTTACTGAGGCGAGTTAGGTAAAATCAAATTACTCACATCTCTGCCATTGAGCAGCCAAGTTAGATTGGCCGGTGGATCAGCGGGTGGAGAGGTGCATTGTGCTCGCAACGAATCGCCTGATGCGTACCAACCCTTTTCCGCTTTGATTTGTGGCTTCTCTGAAGGCAATTCTGAAACAAATTTAAAGAAAATTTAAATATATTAAAGTCAGATAATATTTTCTCAATACAATTTATACACCAACGAGTACATATTATATGAGAATTATATTCAGAAAATATTATAAGATTTATGTTTTGGTAACATAAAAATATAATGTATATATTATGCTCTGCCCCGGAATCCAATCGGTAACATCCAACACTAATGTTAGTTATACCAGTCCTGGTCACGCCCGCCAGTATGCTGTAAATCGCCTTTGTTACTTTAGGGCATGGGCTGGTTCCATATATTTTATTTATTGGATATAAATCCAACGTAAATAAATATCAAGTTTTAAGTAAAGATCACAAACATTAATATTGTATCATACTTCGTAATATCGTTGTTACTTAATACTTAGTTAAGCAACCTATGTCACTATGGAAATGGTTAAAAGGAAATTTAGCCTTTCAGGTCCAGTGATTGGCTGGCTAATACTAAAATTCTTACAATATTGATAACAAACCCTCACAGAAGATTTAGTTTAGTTTTACAAGGTGTTCAAAATATCTTTTCGTTTACGACTAACAATAATTTATAGTTAGACTTAGTCTTCACAATAACTTAAGCTACTATATTGTGTTCATAACATTCAAGAGCTATTTTTGTTATATTTCCACCTGAATAAAATAAATACCCAGTTTGCTCTTCACACTTATCACTACAAAACTCAAGCGCTCAACTAAATCAGCAAACATACGTGCCACTAGAAAGGTCGAAGTATTTACCTCAAAGTACCCGCATGTGTGAAGATTTGTTATAATCCCCTTAAGGGATCTAAAGGTGTAGACTGAGGTAATTATGGAAATTGTCTGTACTTTATCAAAGTACTGTCGAATTAAGTTCTTACAAGAACCCCGGGGTTAGCCCGCTTTATGATCTTACGTCAGAAGAACCGTTGGATCCGATTAAAGCATTTTATTTTGTTAAATATTTCATATTCAACTCAGGTAAGATTTATGAAAATACTGACGACTCACCCTCGCTTCGCTCGAGTTTATCCCTAGGTACGTTTTAACGGTTAGTCTGGACAGACTATAGTCTATCTGTTTCATATATAATATTTTATATATACACATAGGTATGATGAGTTGTTGTGAGTTGTATTATAAAGTGTTTTCCTATGGTAATGAGATAATCTTCCGTGGTAAAAAGCCAATGTCACTCTTCAGCCCTCCAACTATCTCCACACAAAAAATCACGCTAATCCATTACTCTGTTTCGACGGGAAGAAGGACAAACAAACAAACACATAAACATACTTTCACATTTATAATATTAGTACGGATATAGAGAATATTAATTAATGTTCATAAATATATATTGTATAGATATTTATAATGAGTCTCAGTGGTTATATTTTGTCCAAACGACCAATTTGTAGAAAGAGTTTTTAATACAGAATTATTGACTTTTGAATGGCAATTCTATAGTATAAAGTAGCCACTTAACCTTAAAAAAGCCGAAAAGATGTATTTTATTAATAGATATTTATATAAATATTAGAAAGCTTTGTTTTTTAAATAGAGGAAAAAACTCTATAGTACTTTAAAATACGAGAAGTATTGGTCGTTTGAACACATATGCACTAAGACGACGATATGTAAGAATACAATATATATATATATACAGGGTGGCCCAAAATAACGTTGACAAGTTATTTTTCAAATAATTTTATTAACTTTAAACTTAAATGAAATTATGCTGTAAATTATAAAAATACAACTAATTTTTTACAAGAATCCCTATTTGTCTTTAAAATAACCTCCTTTAGCGCGAATGCATAGAGCCAAACGCTTGGTAAAATTTTCACAATTTTCCGCACTTCCTCAACAGATATTTTGTCCCACTCCCGTGTAAGAGTAGCCTTCAGGTAATCAACAGTTCTATGAGGCGTAGAACAGGACCTTGCCTCTAATATTGACCATAATCTATAATCCATTGGATTCAGATCAGGCGAGTAGGGTGGCCATTCTTTTGAGCTGATGAAATCAGGGAAATTGCTTTTGCACCATTGTTGAACACTTAAAGCTCTGTGAGCTGGAGCAGAGTCTTGTTGAAATATCCATGAATCGTTACCAAAGTGCTGTTGACTCCAAGGAATAACCACAGATTCAAGGATGTCTCGTCGGTAATTTTCTTAGTTAATTTTTATACCATTTTCTACAAAAACGAAGGGAGTTTTGCCAGTGGCGCAAATTGCACCCCAAACCATAATTGATTTTGCGTTTTGGCGACGTGGAATGACTGCGGCAGCTCCAGGACGAGTGGAAGACCAGATCCTGTCATTTTGGTGATTATGGGCTTGTTCTATCGAAAACAATTTTTCGTCGGAAAATACGATATTTTTCCAATTTGAAGCAGCGGAGCGTTGTTTAAGCAAACGACATCTCTCAAGGCGAATTTTTTTGTCTTTCTCTGTAAGCAATTGCGCTTTTCTGAGTTTGTATGGTACCAATTGGAGATCATATTTCACTATACGCTGCACGGTGGAGCGACTTATCCCCAAGTCTCGCGACATTTTTCTCGCCTTGGTATGTGGATTTCGGACTAATCTTTGTTTGATAATGTGTTGGTTCCTAGCAGTTCAAACATTCCGCTTGCGTCCTCTCCCAGGACGGTCTCCGATGTTGCCGACCTCAACATAGCGTTTAATTGCTGAAGAAACTAGCTGACGACTAACACCAAGAATGTTTACTATCTCACACTGCCGTTTTCCACGCTCATACAATGAAATTATGGCTCCACGCCGCTCTGACATAACGTAATAATTATATTTTAAAACTTTTTAGCCAACATACAATATTAAAATGGCGCCAAAGAATGAAGAAAGAATAAACAAAAACAAAAGAGAACGCAAGGCATTCCATTTTTTAAATATTATTTTTTTAATTTTGTCAACGTTATTTTGGACCACGGTGTATATATGACATCGTATATAACTATAATATATAACATAATTAGTAGTATGAAAGCTAGATAGCACTATTTCTCACTTCCTTAGTTTAGGTGGAAGAGGCATAAGTCTACCATTGCTCACATTTTTCAATATATCAATACTATCACTAACTTTAAAAATCTCTAAAAAGGTAGGTTACCTACATAGGTTTCATACAAACTTTCACTCCCTATTTTACCCCCTTATAGGATGAATTTCGAAAAATGCAAAACACGTATTTATTTCTTTGTATTGAAGAGCATTAATACCAAGTTTCAAGTAATTCTGATCAGTAATGAATTTTTGGGTTGTATTATAACGAGTTTTCTCGTAGGAATAAGATAATCTCTCGCGATAAAATTCAAAGTCACTCTCCAGACTTCCAACTTTCTTCACACCAAAAATCTCGCCAATCCGTCACTTCGTTTCGACGTGAAAGAAAGACAAACAAACAAACAATCAAACACACTTTCATATTTATGATATTAAAGTATGGATAAGTAACTTATACTATATTAACGAAAACAAGATCATGCCATAATATTGTTTATGCGATAGTAACAATGTTAGCTGCTATTTGCTTGTTTGTTATCGAAAGCTCAGGTCTTTCACATGGCATGAGTCCAACGTACAAGATTTGTAATACTGTTTCACTAAATCATAATTTAATTTTATTTCTTTTGATTAGCACCTATTTTCACGCAGTACTTTACAATACAATGTACATATATATTTTTTTAGAATTAATCCTGTAGTTCTAGTAATATGAATAAATTTGATAATAATTATTTTTTTATAATAGTTAAAGATTTATATTAATTCATTTATTTTTGACGACACGCTTAGCTCAGTTTGTAGTGACCTTACTTACTGTGCCAGCGGTCGCGGATTCGAGTCTCGCTGGGGGCATTCATTTCTGTGATGAGCACAAATGCTTGTACTCCAATCATGGGTGTTTAAATATGTATGTATAATACATATGTTATACTTTCTTAGATTTACGCGAATATTTGATATTTTAAATATAACTATCTTTTCAGATTATTGGGCGGATTTATTTTGATTTTGGGTTCCCGCTGTATCGAATGCTTTACAGCATTCATGGTAACGGGAGAGACTAAGGTTGTAGACGTCTCAAAGGCATTATGTACTTGTTACAGATACTGCCTATCCATAAGACTTGGCCTCCATCACTGCAAAAAATAATAATAATAGTACGTGAAAATTGACAGTTGGAAAAAGTATACAGTGTTTCGTTTTATTTTGCTAATATTTGGATACATGTTAACATTCAGAACACATCCAAAAGTATTCAATGTAGTAACTTGATCCTTCTACTACATTATATACATTATGTATGTATATAGTACCTTTTATAGGTTTGTTTGAATTTCTTTATATTATTTTTTATGTATACTTTAAGAATATATATTTTGTTAGTTACAATATATTTTTATTATTAGTACGTTTTAATTAATAGTATGGTATGATGAGTTTTATATCCCTTAATGAGATATGATTGATTCCCTCTATAAACTTTTATCCCACTTTTCCACCTCTTAAGGGATGATTTCCGGGATAAAAATAAAATATTCTCTTTGTCATTTCCAGGATCTCAAACTATTTTCATACCAAAATTCATCTAAATCAATTAAGCAGATCCAGAGATTACTTCCTACAAACAAACTCACAAGCTTACAAAATTTACCTTCTGTAGATGGAAATCAAAATATTTTAATATAAAGCTAGTAATTTCAACAGGAAACTTAAACAAAACTAACTCTGATTCTACCTGTGCTTCCTAGCTGATGCACTTAATTAATTTGGCGCCGGCGCTAAATCAACAACAAAGATAATTAATTGAATGAATTAACAAAGTAAATTAACATCGCTATTCTCGCTTTTTTGTGTATTATTAGTATTCAACTGCCTTGATGGTGTAGTGGTTAGCATGTACGGCTGCACATCCGGAGGTCCTGGGTTCGAGTTCTGGGTCGGGCTAAATTTAGTTATTGAGCCGTTTAGACATTTTATTTACTTAATTATATGTACTTTATTACACACACAAGGATAATCTAATATATTTAAACGAGTAATGGCTGTATATTTATTTATACCGGCGATCTCAGAAACGGCTCTAACGATTTCGCTGAAATTTGGTATGTGGGGGTTTTTGAGAGCGAAACATCGATCTAGATTAGTCTTATGTCTGGGAAAACGTGTGTTTTTGAGTCTTCATGCGGTTTTCTGTCGCTTTATTCCACGCAAAATCTGGTCGCTAATTTCGCATTCTCGTGTATAAGCGTTGTGGTCAAGCAGCCAAGGCGCAAGATTGACATTCACAGTGATCGGGTTCATATCCCGGTGGGAAACAAAGTTTTTACTTTTGTTTTTTTTTATATTTAGTTAAGTTTTTAGTTTTTTTTTTAATCTAAAAAATACGATTCATCAAAAAAGATTTCCGAGCGAAGCTCGGTCGCCCAGGTACTACATAAAATGAAAAAGAAAGGAATAAAGAGTGCACTTGTGCACTATAATAATTCGTGCGCAGATGGCTAATCTCAATGAGATACGCCGCCGTGGCCGAAATCGGTCGGGAGGACATTATAACTGTTATTATTAGTAAGTAACTCAATATTACTGATAATATTACTAATCATTATAACTTTTTAAAACTTAAATATCTGAAATTATCATCAAAAATTAATAGCAATGTTAGTACTAACATGTGCTTTGTTAGATACATCTATTTTATTTTAT